GCGAACCGGGATGACGTCAAGCTAAGGTAGTGCCTGAGTCAAATTCACTTACAACGCCGTCTAAGGTCCTTAATTACGCTTAATTATGCTTTACCGAGTCGGGTGATAACAAAAAATAAAGCCTAAACATTCTAATCAAGATGAATTGGATAATAATTAACTAAAATATCAACTAAGAAATAACATAAAATAATAATCTAGCTAAAAATATAAACGAGACAATAATAAAGAAGCTAGGGAATCGGGAATAAATCGCTTCCAGTTTTACACTCATTCAACGGCAATCAATAACTCGGTTAAGTAGTTCAACTAACCAACTCATTTAGCGGTTCAACCATACTAACTCTCGTAATATATGGAAAAACATAAAATGAGCAAATTAACGAAACAATTAACGCATAGACAATACGTCTCCGAACATGTCTATTCTAAATGAGCCAAGTTCTATCAATTTCTCCCCTCTCGGTTATGAAATCGATTATTTTTACAACTCCTCCCCTCTCGGTTCTACAAGTTGTAATTCACAAAATTAACAAATTTTAACTTAACAAAGAGAGGAGTTATACAAAATTAGAAACGCGGGTTGGTTGCAAGGAAATGATTCAGCTTCTTTTTTATGGTGCTAATTGGATAGTGGAGCAAGAAGTGGATCAACACAAGCATGAGTTAGTTCCATGCAATCAAGCCCGCTATTTTCTCTCTCACAGGGATATGCCTTCGAATGATGTAGCATATTTGTCACAATTAAAAGCTAGTGGAGTTGGTGTTACCGCTGGTTATAGGGTTCTTTCGGATCAAGCTCGTGGTGTTCAAAATATGCCATATACAATAGTTGATGCCCGTAACAACGTTGCAAAGCTTGAAGGGAGAATTTAGGAAGGCGGTGATGCAAATGGCCTACTTAATATATTGAAAGAAAGACATGCCCGGGAAGATGGATTTTATTTTAATTATGATCTGAATAAAAAAATAACATCATTGTGTTCCATTTTTTGGAGGGATTCTCGCATGAGGAAGGATTATGAGGTGTTTGGTGATTTAGTTGTATTTGATACTACTCATAGGGCAGTTGATGGGTCTTCTCCTAGATCTGGAGTGAACCGGTTGAGATGAGCTCCGATCTGTCTAGATCGCTTCTAGACCTCTGCGAATACCTGCAAGAACCCAACGCAGAAAGAGGTCCCTGCATCGGGCCTCAAACGCTCAAGTCAATAAATAGAGGAGAGGAAGAGGAAAGCTCTGTAGTCTAGAGCTATAATTGTTAGTGTTATTTTTGTTATGTTTTTATTAATGTTTTTTATTATTATTTTTATGTATTTTTAGTAATTTTGTGGGATTTTGGGTAGTTTTTAGTTTTTTTAGTAATTTGTAATATTTAAGTATTTGTGTGGATTTTTGTATATTTTTCTTATATTTTTCGAGTATTTGTAAAATAAAGGAACGGTCGAAAATCTCGGAAGAGCAGGATTTTGGAAAGTTATTGGGCATGATCATATTAATTTAAAGAGGAGCTCGTTAGCTACACACAGGAAAAAGCGAAACTCAATTTCGAGTTCGGATGAGTTCGTACGGGACCGAAGCGTAAAATCGAGCAAGTTGCCGACACCTTGGAAGTTAAAAATCCCTAGATAATTGTATTCTTGGAGACATTTATATTGGCATACATCATTGAATAGAGGGGTTCGTTAGCGACGCATAGAAAAAAACGGCACTCAATTCCGAGTTCGGACGAGCCCAAAACGAGCCCGAGAAGCAAAGCCCACCGAGACGTGCGCGAATGCACGCAGAAAAATACCCTCTCAGATTTTGTCCGAAAATTTCACATTTTCTCTCAAATTTCCTATCTTCTTTCACCTTTTCTTCCATTTTTCTTTGGTAGTTAAATTGTGGTTGATTTTTAGGTGAATTGTGGTTGATGTTGGTGAAGTGTGTTTGATTATATTTCTATAAATAGCTAGAACATCCAACATTTTATGTAATTTATCACCTTCCATGCAAGCTTGAACCAAGGGGGGTTCTTCCCCTCTTCCCTCTTCATCTTCTTCTTTTTATTTTCTTTTCTTATTGTATGTTGTATTTGGAGAAACTTGTATATGGATTCAACATTTGAAGATTGTTATGTAAGTTTACTTTCTCTTTAAATTAATTCATGCATAATGGTTAATTTAGGAGAGGGCTAAGCGATCCCACTCCAGCTCATGAATGTCTGGATTCCAGATTATACAAGGAGACAGTGCTTGTGCTAAGTCGAATTGAAAGGTGATGTCAGTTCGGTCTAGTGCCGGTCCCCCCCACATATCCTCAGCTAGCGATTCCAACTCCATCTCAAGTTCCCTACCATCACTACCATCAACAGGGCTATCATCAATACAGTCAATAAGACCACTAATGTCCCTAATGCAAGATATCAGATTATCAACAGATACAGGAAGAAAAAACATTCTGATAAAAGTTCCAGAGTTGATGTATCCAAAAGAGTGTCTTTATTAAGTTACCAGGACACAACAAAATACATCACCACAATAAGTTTAAATAGGCTATACCAAGACCCCTACACCAAATATTGATTGACTATTCTAAAAATATTAGTATACATCTTTGAGTTCAAATTCTGATTTCCCAACAAGCTGAAATCCACTCTCCACACAGGGAACAAACTCCAGATTAAGAAGATCTTCAGAGATATTAAGATGCTTAACCTCTTGAGTGACAATGTGATAAAGGATTAGATATTCACCTTTGCCTCGAAAAAGTAGATCATCTTTTGTCCAGAACCCTAATGGCGCCTCAACTCCAGGAACACAAAAAGTGGATATCCACTCCCACGAACCATCATGACTTCTCACCCATAATTCAAAAGTTTTTTCCTCTCCATATTTTGGGTAGGTTATAGTGGCAAGCAACCCATCCCGCTCTGCAAGATGCAGGCTATAAAATTTCGCAGCATGGTTAGCCGAATCCGGAAGATCAAGGAAAGAAAACTGTTTACTAGCAAAGTCAAAGGTAAGAAGTGTCATCCTAGCCTTTATCACCACCCACCAATAAGCAACCCCATTTACAGAAGCAGAATCATAGGAGCGTGATAAGCAATCATCAGAAAGGTTATAAGGTAATTCCTCCCAAGAATCAGACTTTAGGGAGTACAACTCCAATTGGTGCGTCATGTCCACAAAATCATCTTCATCATGAAAAACGGTTGTCACGAACCTTAGTACTTTAAGATCTAGAGAATTACTATCGAATCCAATCATGGGACGTTTAAACATGAGATAATTAGCATCTGGATGGAGTTTGATGCTGGTCTTAGGAAGGAACTTGAATTCGTTAGTCGACGGGTTCCAAAGGGCAACTCTATCGTGAATTAGCCCAGCGTCGAGGCACACCACGCCATCACAATAGCTCACTTCCCTAATCGTAGGAAATGGCAAATGGAGTTGTTGTTTGGATAATGATTTGTCGTCCCAGGAAAGCAGAGAGAAATAGTTACGCCTAAACTCGACGTCTACCTCAATGTTGTTTCCATGTAAACGAAGCAAAAGAGGCAGCTTTCTCTCAATTTCCAGATGGCTTTTGGGAATGGGTGAGATAGTCCTCGAAAAATACCTGGAACTTGTTCGACCAACATTCTTCAACATCAACATTCCCACATCGAATCGATGAAACCCTAATGGAATGTGAAGCGAGGAATTGGGTTCAATTGATGAGAGATTCTTCCTCGAATAATACCTGGAACTGAAGGAGGGTCTTTGAGAAACATTCTTCAACATCTCGACATTCATTCCCCTATCGAATCGATGAAAACCTAATGGATTGATTATTTGGTCTTATCTTAAAAAAGATAGTGACGGTGATTGTCCGTGGAAATTAGTTCAAATAGGAGAAATTATCAGAACGCCACAACTAAGGAGCGGCCTCACCAAAACGCCTTTAGTAAACTGAGCTTCACCAGAAGGCCACAAGTCTATATCATCGTCGTTCCACAGCGCCATTTTGTGATTTCTTTTTTTTTTCGGCCTAAATCACGCAGAAAATGACCGGCATGCCCCTTCCTAATCAGTTCTGCTTGCGCGCGCTCGTGTCCCAAACCAAAATCCAAAGCACGGGAGCGGCAAACCCTACCTGTACCGAGGGAGCGGCAAACCCAAACCAGTCGCCGGCCAGCATGCCTGAAAATGCGGAGGGCCATGGCATTGCACCAGGACAGGGCTCGGGCAGCCACAATGATGAAGTGGCCAGCAATCTGAGCTTCAATACCAGGTGAGCTTCAGTCACAATTGCGATTTACTCAGTGTATGATAGTTTGTTGTGCTAAATTAGTTTATTTTGTTACATTTAGGATTGAATCACAGCCTACAATGAGAATCAGTCTTAGAGTTCCTGCTTACACTGCATATTTGGATGATGGCAGTAGTGTTGATGTAGATGGTAAAGATCATATTGTGGAACTGAAAAATGTTGATGGATATTTAATGTTTAATCTTTTGGCTGATCTTAGAAACAAAACCAGTTGGGGTACATGTCAAGAGGCAACATTTTGGTATTGGGACACTGAAAAGATGGGATTACAAGTGGTTGCTACAGATGATGAGTTGAGCATGGTATTCCATAAATTTCATTCCAAAAAGTTAGTCTCATTTGTTGTTGAGTTTCCAATTAAGCCTTCATATAAGAGTAGTACGACATTAGAGGCTAAATTGGATAAACTACCCGTGAGGAGGAATCCAAATATGGCATTGACGACAAGCAGTTCAGATGAATCGGATGAGGAAAGTGGTGACGACATTAAGGAAAATGTTGACCCTTCTTGGATGGAAGACAACGACATATTTATGGAGGACCATGAGGTGTTTGTGTCTCTTGGATTGAGGGCTGAGGATGAGGCAACAACAATGAACTTGGGAAATGATGGTGTTGATCTTAATACAGCAGAAATTTCAGTTGATGACTATGCTGAAAATGAGCCAAGGTTTGTGGTTGATAGCGAAAATCCAAAGATTAGAAAGGGGGAGACCTTCCCAACAATGGAGCGTTTTAGGATGGCTTTGAAGCAATATGCCATCCTAAATGAATTTGTGGTGCACAAGGTTAGAACTGATAAAAAAAGGTATAGGGCTGAATGTAAGGCAAATGGATGTCCTTGGAGAATTGTAGCTAATAAACTTGTGGGACAGCCTACTGTTGAGGTATGTTTTGTAACTAACTTATATGCATTTCAATGGTTTACAATATATAAGATGTGTCAAATGACTAATTCTTCCTTCATTTCTTTTTGTACAGATCACCATGATTCCCCATGAGCATGAATGTATGGGTACTGGTTCGCTGGTCAACACAATGGCATCTAAGAGGTGGGTTGCAGAGAGAGTGGTTTCATGGTTGAGAAAGAAGCCAAGACTTGGAGCAGCTGATTTGCAAGACAAATTGTTAGAAAAATATGGGGTAGAGGTCAGTTATGCTACTACTTGGAATGGAAGGCAGCTAGCAATGGATTCAATATATGGCTCTTGGGAAGATAGCTTTCAGACCTTGTTTAGTTTTAGGGCTGCACTCCTTCATCAGTCTCTGGACACTATTTTTGAAATTGCCACTAAGCCGAGTGGAGATGGTATGATTTTTGACAAGCTATTCCTAGCGATGAGGCCCTGTGTTGATGGATTTCTGCAAGGATGCCGCCCTTACCTTGGTATTGACTCTACTGCCTTGAACGGAAGGTACAAGGGGAAATTGGCATCTGCAACGGCGCTTGATGGTAACAATTGGATGTACCCTGTTGCATGGGCCATATTTGAATCTGAATCTTCTGATAATTGGAAGTGGTTCATGAGGCAATTGGAGAAGGCAATTGGCCATCCGCCATCTTTAGCTATATCCACAGATGCATGCAAAGGTCTTGATGCTGCAGTGAAGGAGGTGTTCCCTGACATTGAACATAGGGAATGCATGAGACATCTATGGGAAAACTTCAAAAAGTACTTTCGGGGAGAAGTCTATGACAAGAATATGTGGCCAGCAGCTAGAGCGTACAAGTCTAACAAATTTGAGTTCCATTGGAATCAAGTTGTCGCTGCGGATCCAAAGGTTGTGACTTACATTAACCAACACCACAATCACAAGTGGAGCAGGTCCATGTTCTCAAATGATATCAAGTGTGATTATGTGAACAACAATCTATCGGAGAGCTTCAACAGTTGGATCAAGAAGATAAAGGACTTGCCTCTTGTTGATCTGATTAATATGTTGAGGCGGATGACAATGGATTTGTGGGAGAAGAGAAGAAGGATTGGAAGCAAACTCTCCGAAATCATTCTTCCAACAATAATCAAGCAACTGAAAGCCAAAACAAGAGGATTGGGTCAAATGAAGGTTCATAATTTGCACTTTACTGCAGAAGTGTTTGGGTTCCATCATGATATGACACCTTGGGGGCATGTGGTAGATCTGACCACTCAAACTTGCACTTGTGGGGAGTGGGAAATGACAGGAAAACCATGTCCTCATGCTTTAACTTTCATTAAGATGTTTTCAGAAATTGATATGGCTACTTTTGTTCATGAATACTATAGCGTAGAGAAATTTAGGACAGCATATGGTGGCTCAATTCCACATATGACTGACAAATCACAGTGGCCTCAAGTGGATATGGGTTTCAAGTTGCTGCCACCTCCATTGAAAAGAAAATCTGGAAGACAAAGGAAGAACATGTTCAAAGCTAGTCATGAACCAGGAGCAAAGAAACAGCAGCGATGCAACAAATGTGGAGAGTTTGGACATCGTGAAACTGGAAATTGCCCTTTGAATGAACCAAAAAAGAGGTGCGTTAGTTCTGAATTCCTTAAATCTGGGTTAGTTTTGTATTATGCATAATTTGTCCATTCATGTAGGAAAAGACCACCCCAAGAGAGGAGGAAGCCAAAAAGGCCCAAGATAATCCCAGCTGACACCATTTCACCGGGATCCCTCACTCGGAGAATTGTCAATTTGGTGCATGGTGATGAAGAGATTGGTACATCTAGTTCTACCATTTCAGCCAAGCGGTTGTTGGTGCTTTCTCAAGACCAAGGAGATGAGTCTGCTCCTAAATAGCCCACTGTTGGTGCTAAATATTTTGTATTTTGTTGTTAAACTCGTTCTTTTGCTTGGACAACTGTATGGTTTGACATGCTGGAAAACGAATGCTTGGATGACTTGCTGTTGAACTCTGATTTGCATTATTTGTGGCTGCAATTGTTTTCTTTTATATGTGAAATATGCTGCTGGAAGGTCCATATGCCATAAAGTCATGGGAAATCTTTTCATTATTTATATCTGAATATTTGTCTTTTTTTTTTTGTTTCTAAAATTAATGATTCATATTTTTCGGATTTTTGGAATTTTAGAAATGAAAATTTTGTATTTTTTGAGCCATGAAACAACAGGTTCTTTTTTTTTTTTTTTTTTTTTTTTTTTTTTTTTTTTTTTTTTTACGAATTGCCCTCAGAAAATTCACTGTAAACAATAGTGCATTGAGAGGGGGTAATACTGTCTTTGTACCCCTCTGATTGACTGAAAACACTGCTGACTTTTTACCACTTGATTCTCTCTCTCTCTCTAAAAAATCTCTACTGTAAGTTCATTAATTATTTTCTCTGATTTTAGGTGTCTGTAGAGGTAAAAATGGTTCAGGGGCAAAAGGGTCAGTTCCTATGCATGTTTTGACTTAAAAACAAATGAAAATCGTAAAATATATGGATGCTGCTGTAAGAAGATGGCTACACGCATTAGCAGTGGCCTTCTGGTGATGCACTCCCTTACTAAAGGTGTTTTGGTGAGGCCGCTCCTTAGTTGTGGCGTTCTGATAATTTGCGTGACTCTGAAGTCATTTTCATGATTATTGCAGCCATCTAACCGTTCCATGGCCCAAAAACTAAATATCTTCAATGACGGGCTCAGACCATTTTACAGGCCCAATAAATCCAACCAGTCCAGAAACAGTATTCTTTAGCCCAAAGGCCCATCTCCCTCTATT